CCAGGCTCTCCGTCAATGGGAAGATATCCAAGCGGGAGAGACTCGCCAGGGTTAACGAGCTTATTGAATCGTTTGGTCTCCAACGTCAAGCAGACACCATTGTCGGCACACCCTTGCGCAAAGGGCTCAGCGGCGGGCAAAAGCGCAGACTGAGCGTCGCCAGCCAGCTCGTCACCTCTCCTCGCGTGGTCTTCCTGGACGAACCTACTAGCGGACTCGACTCTGCAGCTAGTTTTGAGTGCATGAATTACATCAAGCAAGTGGCCAAGCAGCACAACCTGATCGTCATTGCGTCGATCCATCAACCATCAACGACAACATTCCAGCTGTTTGATCAGCTGATGCTCCTGTCTGAAGGCCGCACCTGCTATTTTGGACCCGTGTTCAATATCGAAAAGTACTTTGAGCGCATCGATCGTCCTCTGCCGTTGCACATCAACCCGGCAGAGTACCTGCTCGACCTGGTCAACAGTGATTTTAGCCACACCGCTGGTGCCGCCGAGGGCAACCTTCGGTACGTCCAAGATGCATGGACGGCCTCAGAGGATTCCAAAGCACTGGAGGTTGCCATCAACACCAGCACGGCTCTAGGCACCGCCAGTACGCCTATCTCATCTGCTCGAACTTCATCCAAGAACGTCGTCACCGTCTCCTGGGTCCTGTTGCACCGCAACTTCATAAAGTCGTACCGTGACTTCATCGCCTACGGGACTAGAATTGCCATGTACTTCGGCCTTGCCATCATGATGGGCACAGTCTGGCTCCGCCTCTCCTTCTCGCAGACCTCGATCCAGCCCTTCACCAATGCGATCTTCTTTGGGGGCGCCTTCATGTCCTTCATGGCCGTTGCTTACGTGCCTTCCATCATCGAGGACCTCCACACCTTCAACAAAGAACGACACAACGGTCTTTACGGGCCCCTTCCATTTGTCATTGCAAATACCCTCATCGGCGTCCCTTGGCTGTTCCTCATCGCAATCATGTTTTCCGTGGTCACGTACTGGCTAGGCCACTTCAACCCCACCGCCGGTGGCTTCTGGATGTGGGTGTTGTGGTTGTTTCTGGACCTTCTCGCCGCTGAAGGCTTGGTGGTTCTGGTGTCGAGTATTTTCCCCATCTTTGTCGTTGCGCTGGCCATCACTGCGTTCGCAAACGGACTCTGGATGTGTGTGGATGGGTTTATGGTACCAATGGGCAAACTCAATCCATTTTGGAAGTGTAAGTCCCCCATCTCAACTTACTCAGTCACATTCCGCCCACCCCAGCCCGGCCCTGCCCCCTCCCGTCTCTCGCGTGCTCATTCTCGCGTGCTCATTCTCGCTCTCATTGTCCCAGTCCCATCCCTCTCTCCATGGTTTTTGCGTGCATACAAACAAACGTGCAGGTGGCTGACTTTCGTGCCCCCCTTGTTATTTTCCTCTTGTTACAGACGTCTTCCATTACATCGATTACCAGGCCTACGTCTTCCAGGGCATGATGGCCAACCAATTCCGCTCCACGATCTGGGACTGCGCCAAGTCTCCCGAAGGCTTCCAGTGCATGTACCCGTCGGACCTGGAGTCGGAGGGCAAGATCCGCGGCACCGCCGTGCTCGAGGCCTACAAGTATTCCTGGTCTTCGGGCGTCATCGGCGAGTGGATCGGCATCATGTTCGCCATCATCTTTGCGTACAGGGTCCTGGGGTATTTGGTCCTCGTGCTTAAGAAACACTGACGGCGCAAGGGCGGAATGAGACTTTGAGATAAGAGATGGACGTTATTTGTTTGGTTCCTTGGCTTCTAGTTACGCGGGAAGAGGATACGGTGTGGCTGGCTGGGGCGTATGTGGGATCTTTGCCCGAGATCTTGAGGGGACTACGGTACTCTGCTGATCTGGTCAGGCGTTACGATACAAGTGCTGAGCGAGCGAGGAGATTAGGTGTAGTTCATAACGACCCCTAATATTTTCTTCGCTTATGAGATATTGTCATGATACAAGTAAGGCGGAAGTCACACCAATAGGGAAGATTTCAGTTTAATCTGACGTTCATAATTCACCTGTGGCCGTTTCTACCAGCCGTCATGTTCATGTTCTATTACTCCCAGGTATTAATCCGGCAACCAACTAGCTCGAACATGATCTCGAGCGACATCTCGCAACCCAAGTCTTGCAGCTCAGTGACTGAAGAAGCATTTATCAATGAGGCCAGCGCCACTTCGAATCCTTTCGTCACCACCGCTTGAAATCTCAGGACCTCCTCACCATCAGAGGGTCAACCACTGCCTCACGATCAGTAGTCGGCATCTGGAGCCTCGCGTTCTCTTGCCATCTTCTCTCTGGCTGCTCTCTTGCACGGACCGCAGTAGATAACTCCGCAATGGCGACATTCGAACGAGACTCGTGACTTATCGGTAGATCCTGTTGTTCGACCATCAACCGCCGCTTGAGCCTCACTCTCGGATTCCTCTGTCGGGCCAGAAGGCTTCCAGTGGCACCACTTCTCCTTGAATCCAGCCTTCTTGGTCTCACCTTTCCCAACCTCGACCTTCTCAAAACAACCCATACACTCAATTTCCAAGCTCGCGTCCGTTGCATGATTGAAGCCGACCAACCAGAATTGGGGGATTTGGTCCTTTCCAAACTCATTGAAATGATGTCGACATCCCCATGTATCCCAGGCCTCGTCGATTGGCTCCTCCCCAAAGAACATATCTTCATTTTCCCAGTCGTTTTCTTCCGGGTCATCCAGATTCTCAGGGGCATTTGCAGTCGCCTCGGGTTCATTTGGATCGCTTGTTGGCTGGTCTGCCACCGGGGGTTGCGTAATCTCGTTGTCCTGGATGTTCTCAGCCTCTGCCAATTCCCCGGTTGCACCCTGGTGCGCCAACATATGTTCTTGAGCTTGACCATGCATGTTCGTGGCACTGCGGAGGACAGCATGATTTTGTGTAGTCTGTGCCTGCGAACTCACTCCTACCTCAGTCGGCACTGGAGCAGATGTAGGGGCCTCATTCGCGCCCTCCTCCTCATCAGACTCGGGTTCTTCATCTTCTCCATCCACGCCGTCGTCTCTGGCAGAACGACATGGATATTTGTAGCAGGCATTCATTGACCGTCGACAGTCCCAACACCAGTGAGCACCGCATCGACATCTCACATGTGGACATCCATACATTTTCATGACGCCAGTTCTACACTTTGGACAGAGTTTGTATTCATATGTTTTTAGAATGAATTGCTGAGACTCGTCTTTGACGCAGACGTGTCCCTCTGCTCCGGCATATTGTTTGCACTTTGTGCAGATGATTGTCTTGCACACATGACACGTGACAGTCGTATCGGTTTGCTTGAGCATTCGAGGAGGAATAAAGGCAGAACAAGCTGGCACAGGGCAGTACAGAGGATCAACGGTGTTGATTTCATCACATCTTTCTTTGTACTTTTCGATCTCAGCGGCTGGGAGGATTCCTCGTGCGACTTCGTGATGCATGACGGTTTGGCAGCACATGACGGGCATCCTGTCCATGTTTTTCATGGCTGTGTCGAAAAGGGTTTTCACACACTCGTAACAAAGAGCTTCCTTGCACCGTCGACAAGGTGTGGAATAGACACCATCAATGTCACCAAAGCAGATTTTGCAGGTGACCTTCTTGTTTGGTGGCGATTTCTTAAGACGCTTTCGAGGAGGAGAGATGTCTGGTGGTGGGGGTGGAGGAGGGGCCTGGGAGTCTCGTGTGCGACCGGGCTCCGAGAGATCGAACTGAGGTTCTCCAAAGTGTCCATCATAGGTCCCAAGACGGTACAGACGGTCGCCAATGGGGACTTGGGGATCGCTCAAGAGGACGTTCGATGCATCAGCAGCCGTCGAGAAGGCGAAGATCCAGTCATACAGGGCCTCTCCCTGCGCGTTCTCGCCAATTCGAACCACATTGAAGCCGAGATAGCCTTCTGAACTGCGAAATGGTGGGTTGCATTCATTGGAGGGAGAGGTTGGGTGGAAGTTGACACTGCGGGTAGAAAGGGCTGTCGGACCCTGGCCTGCCATGATGTTCAAGAGGAGGAGATTGGGGTTGATCTCATCTCGCGATGCAGTGGCACGTGAGGGAGCACGTGAGGGAGAGGTGTCTGTGCTATAAGCCGGGTTCAAATTGGAAGCTGCTGGTTGTGTGTCAAGAGCATTGGACGAGGGTGAGGCAGGACCGGAGGGTGAAGTGGTAGAGTGAATTCGTGTAAATGGTCGATGGCGGAAGAGGCGCGAGAACAGTAGACAGGCCATGAGCTGTGTTTGGGCCTAAATGAGGCTGAGGAACATAAGGCTGGCGGGCACGATGAGTCTCCCTTTTTATATGCAAAGGCGGGGGAGGAAGGTGAAGACTGTTTGGTACGAGAGAGACACGGGGTGCAGGATACAGCCTTTAAGGCATCTTTGTCCTGATTTTTGCACAAGTTTGTGAATTGTGAGCCATCACATAGGATGGAGCTTGAGTCATTTGGTGGTTCCTAGTAGGATTTGGCAGGCTCAGCAGGCTGAACAGGCGAGCAGGCTGACATTTTCCCGACAATCATTGGCGGGATGTATGAGGCTGTACAACGTGGGGGCTGAGAAGCCAGCTGCCTAATGCCTGAGGGGTCCCTTGATTCTCTGATGGACTATGTCAGATCCTCCCCTAAGGATCCTTCCGTTCTCATATCGAAGAGACCATTGGATTGCCATGCTGAGTTTGCCTGGGCATGACTCTTATTGCATTTGTCGACACCGTCCAGCCCACAATGGGGAAGGAAGACAACGAAAGATGTGGAGTCAGTGATGTTTTTGTTAGGGCTGAGGCTAGTACTAATTAGCATGTGCACATCAGGTGTCAGTGCCCGCCCCAGGATCAACTAGGCCATCCTAGGACTAGCGCTCGCCTTTGGCCTATAAGCACGCGTCTGCGACCGCGACTCCCACTTAACGCGTGAAATTCCACTGAACGACTTCTGTGGCCTCCACTGCCATTGACTCACCCACCATCTCAATCGCCATGCCCCGACATCTCAAGCGTCGCGCAGAGGTAATCTCTCGTGCCGGTTCCGAATCAGAAGTTGAGCACCCTCCAAGCCGACGACCATCCCCACCCTCAGACTCAGATGCTGCCTCATCAGGCTCCTTTTCCGCCTCCTCTCCTTCGTCCCCTGCCGCAACAGGTCAATCCGTAGAGAAGATCCTCATCAAGAAACTCGTCCGTCTAGCCCTGGCCACAGAATATTCCCGCACACCCCTGCGGCGAAGCGACATCTCCCAAAAAATATTCAAAGATGCAAACACCGCTGGAGGTCGGGCTTCCTTCAAAAGCGTCTTCGCGGGAGCTCAGCGCGTGCTGAATGATGTATTTGGGATGCAATTAATGGAACTTCCCTCCAAGGAGAAAACGTCCCTCAAAGATCGCCGTACACAAGCTACGCAAACAAAGTCCTCGAGTGCCGCTACCAAGTCTTGGATACTCGTATCCACCCTCCCACCCGAGTTGAAACACAACACTCTCATCATGCAACCCACACGGGCGCCCAATATCGACGTCGAATCTAGTTACACTGCCCTCTATACGTTCATCCTCTCCCTAATCTACCTAAACAACAATGCCCTCACGGACCAGAAGCTGGAACGTTATCTTCAACGCGTCAATGCGGACACTTACACGCCTCTGGGCAACAAAGAGAAACTGCTCCAGAGGATGGTGAAAGAAGGATATATCGAGAAACGAAGGGACACGTCTAGCGGAGAGGAAATGATTGAGTGGACACCGGGGCCGAGAGGCAAGGTTGAGGTTGGGGTGGAAGGTGTGGCGGGATTGGTGAGAACCGTCTATGGGTATGGAGCAGTGCCTCTCTCTAGGGGCCCTCGACGAAACAACGAGCGCAGTCGGCGCGACGAAAGTGAAGACGCCAACAGTGAAGAGCCCGCCCGCCTAGTCAAGATCGAAGAGAGCGAACTCAACGCCAAACTTTCGAGGAGCCTGGGCGTCCAATTTGGTAACGGTGGTGCCGCCACGGAGCAAAATCAGAGTGATGATGATGATGATGATGATGAGAGAGATGCTGAAGATAATGCAGAGGATAGGGATGTCGAAGGCGACCGGCAGCTTGGACCTTTGAGACCGAGGGGACCGAGGCCCAGACCCAATACGTCTGGTAGAGACTAAGTCCGACCAGGCGGCGGAAGAAGGAGAAATGCCTAAGGAGCCGCCTACAACGATGACGATTGATTACGCGGAACTACGTGATTGTCCGAACGGCTTTTATTCGTAATGTGGTTCCCAATGGATGCCTGTTCTATTCCATAGATATCATGTGATCGACACAGTGTACGGAGTATATATATAATCCCCGAACATTCGTCCTCCACCCTTCTTACGCTAACTAGTCTCCCGCCGCTTTCCTCTCCCGCTAACGACTATTTAGTCGATTCGCTCCCTCGTCCGCTCTCTTCCACTCCCTTCCTCTCTTTCGTTCTCCCCCTCCACTCCCTTCTGCTCCCTTACGGCTCTGGCTCGTTTCTGCGGTGTTCGTTCGCCTACTAGGGAGGCTCTCGTTCGGGTTTTAGTCCTATAGGCGCTAACGTTGCGGATATCTAGCCTCGTAGTAACTTTACTCGATTATAGTTATAGTCGTCCGTTTCGACCTTAATAAAAGGTAGGATCCCTAAGAGATTGCTTTACTATGTCACTAGACGGGGTTAACTAAATCCCTTAGTTCTACAGAATAATACTTCTCTTCTTCTCTTTTTCTTCTTTCTCTCGCGGTGCTTAGCATTCTATCTAGATATCTACCGCCTGGCCGGCACTCTTTCATCTAATCTACATACTGTCTGTAGGAGTAGAGATCTCCGATGTTTTGTATTTAATATGGTTCGCCTAGAATCGCCGTCACCGCTCACAGAAGACGGAGAGTAGATCGAAAGTGAGCGTTGCCATCTTTTCAACCTATAACGAAACGTGTCCATACCGGATTCAAGTGCTCCAGATTCCTGAAAAGTTCCTCCGCATCGAGCGAAAGCGTGACGAAGCCAGCCCGATATGCCACCCCATTTCGCCACTTCAAGAGCAACAAAGATAATTCCACGCGTCTAAAAGACTCCTTGGCTGCCGTATCCATCTTCCTTAACTGCTCAGCAATTTCAGCGATGTCAGTATCAGAATCATCAAATACCGGAAACCCGTCCGCTTGAGCCTTAACACCTACCCTCCATGCCACTAAAAGGCAATCCACCTCCACGCAGACGTCTTGCTGAGACACCACGTCGTGGATGGGACCGTCAAAATATGCGCGGAGTCTAGGGGCTCGAGCTCTTGCTTCGCAGTCCTTCAGATTTAGGCTGTCGTACACGTGAGGCAGCACCTGAAATCCGTCGGTGAAGTCGTATCTCTTGCCTGCTCGCTGCCTCAAAATAACAGATATCTGGACGATGACTCCACATATTTCGGTCAAACCATCGACTTGTCTTTGCGTATTGCCACCAGGCATCCTGTCTGACCGATGCAGAGACCGGAGGAAGGCAAATACCTGGACCATAGTTTCACATATTTCAGTAAACCCGTCGAATTGGCGTTTTTCGGTGTTGTCTTTCATCCTGCCTGTTTGGTACAGATGCTGGAGGAATTGAATTCTTCTTATTGCCTCCTTGCCTGTGAACACAGTTCTAGTCGTCTCACAAACGCCGTCATTCGCACAGTCGACCTCATCATCCGGTCCAAGTCGGATGATCAGGGGTGGCTGAATCAAACAGCAGTATGGACAGTAGTTGGTCTTGTCATCGTGCTCATACCACCAGCTAGGTGAAGATTCCATCTCCCACACCCACCCAAGCCAGGACCAGCTCGGGAAGCCAGAGCGTCGCTTGAGAGATTGTTCATCGTATTCACACCTGTCGCTTTGCTGGATCCAGCAGAGCCTTTTCCGAAATTCGTCTCGGGGCAATCCGTATGCGAAACCTTTGGGGTATATCGTACGCTGAAGACGTGACAAGATACCGGAGATGGCATTTAAGGCATCATTCTCGTACGACATCTTCCGAACGGCATATTCAAGAACCAATTTGTCATATATACCACGCCAATCTGAGTTTTCCGATGTTCCATCCAATATTTTGGTGGCTGCGTTGTCCATACCGAAGCCTCCACTAGCCTCTTCACCGTCAAATCGGGCATTCTCGAACATAGACTCGCACTGCATCATCTTCCGGCAGCTGAAGTGGACTTGATGTTTTGTGAAAATTAGTTTGCGCCGGGAAAGAAGTACCTCCTGATAAGTCCAAGCACGTTGTGCATGGGGAGAGCTTCCCATCTCGGTCCTTAAGGATGGTAGACGCGAGACAATCTCATTGCCTCGGCCGATACTGACATGTGCTTGGTGAACAAATGCGGCAAACTCTCCTACACGCGGTATTCCCTCTGCAGCAGATTTGCCATGAGGAACAACCAATGTCACATATGCACCGCCATAAATGTTGCCCATGATTTCGATCTGTTCAAGCTTTGATGAGTTGTCGTGCTGATCGATACAGACGTAGTCGACCCACAGATATTGCAGACCTAGCTCTTGAGTTGCAACCATAGCATCCTCTAAGGTTTGTGGGAGCTGCGGGAGCAGTTGGCCAACCTGAAACGACTTCTTGTGAACATCACCCCAGACATAGCTGAGAGCCGCGAAGTTTACCTGCGGAACATCAGTTGGGAAGGTAATCAGCTTTCGTAATTTTAAGTTGATAAGTCTGATGGTGTTCAGCTCCAGCGATTTCTCTGGCACACAGCCAGGATGATTTTGCTCGCAGGTTTCTAGCCACCCGCGGAGGACTCCGTAGTCTTTAAGTCTCGGTGGGACAATTCGAGTGATATAGCCAGCATATGGAGCGCCAAGCAGCGGTGGAACAGTGGTTGGTATCCCGAATTTGTCGCCAAGATAAGGCCCTCGTGGAGCGCCTCTACCCATGATGCGTGAGAAGGCTGTGCCTTCGGAAGGAGCTACAATGCTGTAATGTTGGATGGAATTTCTGTTTCTTGCGAACTCAAACCAGCCGTCATCGAGCCCAAATTTCCAAGGACCATTGACTGAAGTGTCTCCTTCTGGGTCCACTCTGAAAGCAAAGACTGCTGCGGAGATTCGTTGCAAAATCTCACAACAACAACAGTCTGCTGAGAATGGAACATCCAAGTCGAACAGAACTCGCTGCATGATAGCAGCATTGTCGTCGTGTTCAGGACCAAGGAATGGTGACCAGAGCATATCTTGTTTTGGGAAGTTGTTTTTTTGCCGCTTGATGACCGAGACGAGGTCTAGGGATTGGCATCTTTGGCATACATCTCTTGTCAGAAGTAGCAGCTCACCCGACATGATGCAACTTGTTGAGCTTGAGGTCGACTCTAGAATAGATGGTGGTTCTTCTTGACTGGTCCCCAAGAGATAACTTATCCCACGAGCGGTAGGATTGGTACATAATTTTCTTCGCACACATTTCTGCCACAAACCCGTCTCCTACGCCAGGATTAGGTAAGACGCAGCACCATGCAGACGGAAGGGTCGAACGTTTCCAGGCAGCAGGCTTGACTGAAATGAATGAAGGGGTACCGCTGGGCAACTGTAGCCGAGGGCCCGAAGGGAACCCTGAGCCCGAACTGGCTTCTGCGGATTGGCATTAAGGCAGTGCTCCCTGCAGCTCGCCCAGTGCTCTGGCGCGCTCCCCCGGTGCTCTGTCACGTGCCTGATTAAAGCGGCCTCGCTCCCTTTCCCGAATGAAAATGGTAATGGTGAAGCGCAGTTCGGGGTGTATATAATATATATATATTATATGTACCTCGAACTATGCTTTATCTCTTACCATTTTCGTTCAGGAAAGGGAGTAAGGCCGCTTTAATCAGGCACGTGACAGAGCATCGAGGAGACCTAGCTGAGCACGGTGGAGCCACGGCAGAGTCCGAGGGAGCGCGCCGGAGCACTGGGCGAGCCACAAGGAGCGCTGCCCTAATACTAATTCGGGCTTAGGGGTCCCCTTTAGGCCTCGGATATGGTTGCCCAGCTATAGTCCTTCATTTATTTTAGCTGGGCCTGCTGCCTGGCAACTTTCGATGCGTTCATCTACGTGGTGATACGACTTACTTAATCCTAGCATTTACGAACCGTCACATCCGACAAGTATATATAGTACTTACTGCCTCACGATACCAGCGAAACATCGAGGTAGACGAATATCGGGGAGCCTAGTAAATTCTCTATACTTACACTGCTACCTAAATTTTCCTTATAACCTTAATAACGATCGGACGAATCTATAGTATCCGTGAGTTCGGTGTTAGGGATTTCTTGGCAAGTAGGCAGAATCTAACGATAAGCGTATATGTAAGATATCCCATTAGTATATGATCGATACTGTACACGACTCAAAGCGTGAGAGAGGGAAGAGTGCGCCTTCTATGCGGGGAGTGTGCTAGTAATAAGGATGCACTCCCTGGGTCGTATCTCTTGGCTGGTGGCCTGATTATTCTTCGATGTATCAGGCGTCCGTCCTTCCGATGTTTAGCCGGATCCGTAACATTCGGCCTCGATAGAAAATACTATAGGGCGCCCTATTAACGCCCGGGAGACAAAAAGGGTCTTAGTACTTACGCCTAGGCGCTCCGTCCGTATTTAAATAGACCTAGTGAGGCTTAGCGCTGAGGTTGTTCATCGTTGTCGTAATTTAACTAAGACTAATTTCTATTTCTTAACTTAAGTCGAGGCCTCTATACACTATGAAAATCATTAATTTAGAGAACGACACGGACGACGCAGTACTCGAAGAGATTACCGTAAAAAAATATATATTAAAGCGAACCACTTATTATAAATTTCTCGCGCTAATGTCTTAGACTAAATTGAATTTAAAAATAACCGTACTAAGTTGGAAATACTAGGAAAACTTAAAGTTCTTAAAGAATCTCTTCTACATAGTTAGTCGTTCGGGTCTTATGTAGGCAATGTAATATTTAAATTATAGTGATGTGCGAAATCGGTGTTCTGTTTTAACTAAGTCCACCACCCAGGCAATGTAACACCCTAGCGTTGCAACACGCGTTTTATTCCACCCCACCACCAGACCATCTCAATCAATCCAACTGCCACTCAACCAATTCACCATTAATTACGCGTAAATGGCCTCAAATCGAGAGAT